GAAACTGATATCCAAACCCCGACTTCTAAGGTTATGGCCCGGGGCCCTATCTGGCCCTCTTCGAGCTTGTCTTCGATACTCGTGTTGTCTTGTTCTCTTGAACTTTTTGCATGCCTCGACTTAGCTTCGATGCACACTCTTGGTGTGTTGGATGATGCACTATCCTCCCCGATCGCATCATTGCACTTTTTCAGTCTTGGCCCCTATGTGGCTAGATGGACGCCACTTGAGGGTTGCCCCTTATCTGTCCTGTGTGTGGGTGTCACAACCTACTTTCTCCCAGTAAAGTTGTGATACTCTCCCACATAATCTAACCATTGTCCTCGATGACTTTCTCGTGGTCACAATCATATCGTCGATTGAGACATTCTCCCCCATTTAATCTCGACATCTTTCCAATGATGACCTGAATATTGGACTAGCTACACACTTGACCTGCTTACTAGTTAGTACTTTCAGAATGAATACGATTTGAACCGATCCAAGTGGACCGTTTTCTACCTCTATCTATGCTTGAATTCCTGGCCCTTTTTCCCTCACTTGATGCTTGTGTTACAGCCATAGTAGTTCCGATTTCTTCAGCAAGTTCAAAGATCTCTGCTAGGTTTTGGACAAACTTACCTGTTTTCCCCAATCATTTCTCATCAACCACTCAACTTTTTTTCCGAGGTAAACAAAATTTTTTGTTTTATTCAGATTTACCTGAGGATAAAAATTACTCAAATTTACCAGAGGATGTAGCTCGTAGCTTGAAGAACAGAATCTTTATTTTCTTTCCTCCTAATTTTGTTGCAATTTAGAAATTAAATACTAAAAACAATGAAAATAATATTATAACAAACAATATTTGAATTATAGGATCTAAATAGCGGAATAATACTATTTATTTAAGTTAAATTAAGTTAGTAATTGAGTTACTAAAGGAATTAGGTGAATGTATTTAATAGGGTGAAACACCTCCGTATATGTGGAAAAGAATTCGAGGGACCAAGGCAAGCCAATTCGGAATTAGATAGCAACTTCGACTAAAGTTAATCAAGTAAATGGTCTTACTATCAGCGTGATTAGATATCGATGTTTGTATGATGACACGTGCCCCGTGATTTTGCACGTGTCATATACTTGATATATGTGAAATGTTTATGAAATGATGTGATTATGATATCTTTAGAAAAGGATATGACTATGAAATATTTATGAAATAATGTGACTATGATATATTTAAGAAATGATATGACTATGATATGTTTATGAAACGATATGACTATAATATGATTATAAAATGATATGACTATAATATGTCTGTAATATGATGAATAAAAAAGGGTAGTTCTTAAACACATTAAAAAAAAAAAAAAAACAACAAATCTTAACTATTTCAATTCTCAACCCGTTATAACCCCTCACCATGGAAAATAAAAATTGAAATAGTGTTTCAAACTTTAGTATTTCTTTTATAATTTTTGTATCTTAAAGTTTTTATTCGCCCGTTTAATCTTCTAGTAGATAATATATAAATTTAGTAATAAAATCAAGTTTAGAAGGTATGATTTTCATACGTCTAGTTAACTGGGTCTAGTCCTATCCAACTACACTCCAGAATTTCGATTGCTAGGTAGTTCTCATGGAGTAGGCTCTTCAAAAGAATGATACAAGCTGCATTAGAACATACCAATAAACGACAAAAATCATCTTCAAGGACTTTTGTTTCAATTCATTTGGAAAGTGGTCCATTCCTTCATGTTCTTTCATTTTCTATTACATGTTTTTTTTCATTTTCATGCATTGCGTAGTATGTTTACGTTACTCCCAATCTTTCGATACTTCAAAATTTAGAGTGTGTCAGATCATTTATCCCAAACGTAATGAAATGATAAAAAAAAGTCATTATGAATTTGGTACGTTAGATTCTTTTATTCTCAAAGGACCATACTAACCTCCTAGTCACTAAATATGACTTTTGGAGGTGTTGTTTACTTTTATTGAATCATTTTTTAAATAAGTCTATATCTTTATTGTCTCGTATATTTGAAGAAATGTTTTCAAAGTTTTATTAGTTCTCTTTACAAACAGTAGATTAAAAAATTATTGAAAAAGAAAATAGGATGGTTGGATAGAAATCCAAGATTTCTTGATATTGTTATTATAGTGCTAAATAGAATATACCAGAAAATAGCTATCGAACTCCAAAAAGAAAAGAAATTTAAAAAATTAACCCCATCAAAATTTAATATTTTTAAGTGTTTATCAGCGTTAGACAGATTTGAACGTTTAGCTTTCTGGTAAATAATATATATTTTAACCAATAAAATTAAATTTAAAAATTATAATCGGATCTAATTGGATTGCGTCCGATCCTATTCAACTCGAGAACTTTGTTTACTTAGCAATTCATATGAAGAAGCCTCACAAAAAGATAGAGATGGAGAGATAACAATAAAAGATGAAAATCTACTTCAAGAATTTTTGTCTCAATGCATTGGACCCGACATCCGATGAGATAAAATGTCTCGAAGAAAGTGAAGTGATAGGTAGAGAAATCATTATGAACTTGGTAATTGGATTCTTTAATCAAAAGCTTAGACTTTTTAATTAATTTATTTTTTCAAAATTAGTAGTAAAAAGGTTAAAATGTATTAAATTCTTTTTAAAACATAAATAAAACGTAATTTTCAAAATTTATATGCATAGTAGTAGAGAAATCACTACTTTTGTGTACATCATTCTTTACTGCAATTTTTTTTTTTTTTTAATTCAACCAACACATTCCTAAAATTTCTATATATATATAGACTAATATATACTTTTCTTTCTAATAATTTGAGTTTTTTCTTGAAATACCTCTATTATATGCATAGTCTCTACTTGCAATGTCGTCGTCAGTGTATAAAGGTATCTTGTATTTATCTGAAAGTAGAAATAGCCCAGATTGAGTATTTTAAAAAATACTTAGTAAGTGGCCCTACTATTTAGGTTTTGAATGCAAACACATGTCACTCATGTTTAGGGACATATCGTTAAAATCATTAGAGATGTGGTCTCTACAAATTTAGATTTGTAGTACTTCCCTACACACTACCCATATATGCGAGCATTAGTCCACCAGGTGGTTTGCACCACCTAGGCCCATCATAATGAGGCTAGTTGTTCGTAGTCAGACGTCCAGAGGTCAGCAAACTCTTGAATATCATGAAGGCATGATGATGATCATCATCATAGTGTACGTGTCTGTATTCATTATCATAATTGGGGAAGTAACCCAATGTATATGAACACACAATATGCATGAGGTCAGTATAGTTTTCATCTTAAATTATTCTTATGACACAACCCTATACATCATTCACATATTATTCTAGGTAACATGCATGCATTAGCCTTCATACATTCATCATCATTACACTCATGTAAGGTTGTGTCTCAGAAAACTCTTCATCATAATGCAGCATGTCATCTCATACATACACATCATCTTAATATGAAATATCATCATACATCATCATCATCATGTCATCATATCATAATATAACATCACATCATACTAGCTCACATCATCATCATCATAGTATATAAGCATAAATGATACATGCAAGGACCATTGGCCACGTGTCGTCATACATAAGACAAGTCTTATATTTTACAATTAGAGGACTCCACTTCAAACTTAATACTCATGAATAGTATAAGATCGGTACTAGTTCGAGAGGCAACTTTTTGTGGACGGTAAGACTCAAACCCGATTTCTCTTCCATGTCCAACTCCTCCTCCTTCGTACCCTCCGGCAACTTCCAATCAAAATGGTACAAAAGATTTGCTAAAGCCAAATCCACAGTTTTCACCCCCATATTCAATCCCGGGCATATCCTCCGACCACCCCCAAATGACAAGAGCTCAAAATGTAGTCTTTTGTAATCAATGGAGCTCTCTGCAAATCTCTCAGGAAGAAACTCTTCTAGATCTTTCCAACACGTGGGGTCTAGTCCAATTGCCCAAACGTTCACTTGAACTGTCGTTTTTGGGTAAAAATCGTAGCCTTCAATTTTGAAATTAGAAATGGTTTCTCTTGGAACAAGAAAAGGTGCTGGTGGATGTAATCTTAGTGTCTCTTTCACTATCATTTTCTAATATGGAAGCTCTTCTATGTGTCTCTTTCTGTTACCTTTCCTGTGTTTCCCACATGATTTCTGATTTCTTCTTGAGCTTTCTTCATCAATGTTGGATTCTTGGCTAGTTCTACCATTGCCCATACTAATGTAATTGAACTTGTCTCTATTCGTGCTAAAAATAGGTTTGGTTGATGCACATCATACAAAAAAAAAAAAATGTTAGAAGGCTGTGAGATAAGGGACAAGGGAGAATGCATGAACTGAGAATGTTTGCTTAAGCCACCACACCTAAATTGTATGTAAGTCAAATAAATTACAAGGAGATGGTAAGAGTAATAAATGGAAATAACCATAAATGAAGACACATATGTTAAGTTAATAGACATCAATATCTAGATATTTGTTTATAATAAAAGATTAAATATGATATATATGATAAATTATTATGTTGATTGCACAACATACAATAAAAAAATGTTGGAAGGCTGTGAGATAACACAGAACACATAGAGACATCGTAAAAAAGATTCAATATTGCTAAAAAAAAACTAGTTAATCACTAGATTGAAAGTTTAGAAACTAAATTAAAAATTTAGTGTAAAAACCATTCAATAATAGATATAGAAGTTTCTTACCAAAAGAATAGCTTTGATGTTGTGCAAGATTTAACTTGCTTTTTACTAATAGCCAAAAGCCCATCAATGATATCATCTTGTTTTGGCTTAGGCCTCATAGGATGAAGATGCTCATCAATCACTTCTTGAAACAGAATATTCATCTTATTAAAAATCCTTTCAAGTCTAGCTTCTCGGCCACTAAACCAATCAATTACCTTCCTCACAAAAGGAATTGGAAAAAACTCAAAAGCACTGTAGCTTTCCAATAGGGACTCAACTTCACTCACAAGCTCATGAAATCCATCCCCTTTAAACGGCTTCCCAAATGCAATTCTAAAAATAACTTTAGTAGTGAAAGCAATGCACTTCTCAGTAAGATCAACAACGGTTCCACAAGAAGCTGACTGTGAAATTGATTCAATAAGTAAACCAACTTCTTGCTCTCTAATGGGTTTGTAAGATAACACCCTTTTTATACTGAAAAGCTCAAGTATACAAATTTTGTGTATCTCTCTCCAGTAATCGCGGTAAGGTGTAAATGCAATGTCAAGAAAATTGTAAGTGAGTTTTTTGATAGCATGCATTTATGGTATGTTGCAACTTTGAAAATCGTGGGTTTTCAAGAGAGCACAAGCTGTTTGGGCAGATGATATGGTGATGGTTTCTATACGGCCTATGCTGAGGCTCATAATGGGACCGTAAAGCTGAGAGAGGTGCCATAACGATTTGTGTGGGAGCTTGCCAAGTTGATGCAAGTTTCCAACGATTGGAAGCTTCGGTAGGCTTGGGGGAAAATTACGCGTTCTTCTATTTGATGCCGCTTTTCATTTTAGGATGATGAAAAGTGAAGAGAGGAAGAGGATGAGGACGAGGGGAAGCCATGGAGGGAAATGAAAGGAAAGACATCAGAATTTAGAAAGAGTTCAAGAACCAGAGAAAAAAGATCACGAATAAAAAATGGTGATTCTTCTTTCGATTAAATAGACATAAAATAAAAGTCATATGAACGAAAATAATGAAATATTTTTAATTTTTTAGTGGTTGCCTTTAAGTACAGTAGATTAAAAAATTATTTAAAAAGAAAATACGATGGTCCACAGAATTACAATGTTTCTTGATATTATTCTTACAACACCAATAAATGATACTAAAAAATGACGGTCCACTTCATGGAAGCAATAAAGTGTCATCCTCGGAAAACAAAAAATGAAACACTGCTTGTTAGGATGATCGATTTGAATACTAATCTTCTAGTAGATAATCACAAATGATATCACGTTAGAAGTTATGATTAGACCTAATTTGATTGGATTTGGTCTTATCCATTCCTCTCTTAAAAAGAGATTGAGACAATAATATAAGCAATAATAGAACAATAAAGGACTAAAATTAACTTCAAAATTTGTTGTCTCGATCCATTAAAAGTGGCCAATAGAACCCTCCAATAAAATCAAATATCAATTCTTTTTTGAAAAGCTTAGATTTTTTAATTTAATTACTTTTAAAAATTAGAGGTAAAAAGTAAAAATTAATCTATTAAATTCTTTTTAAAAGATAAACAAAACCCAAATTTCAAAATTTAGATATGAATCAAAACTTTTTGAGAGAAAAATTCTATAAAAACTTGGATAAATTTAATGGGTAGTTATCTTTGATCAATTTCTAACTTGAATTTATTTCAAATTCAGCTCCCAAAAGTGTAAATCCGATGGAGAATGAAATAAATTCTTGATTACCAACCTTTCATCTCTAAGTTTCTTTGCATTAACATTGAGTACTACAATTATAGGGTCAAGTTTTAATAATATAATGTAAAAATGTTCAAATACCGTCTCCAAAATTTATGTTTGGTTCACTTAATTACTACATTATAATCCCTCAATTTTATGTAAACAAAATAAAAACTAACGTAAATATTAACTAAACTTTAACATTTTTATTAAAAAAAATATCCGTAAATGTCATTTTTAACCCATTTAAAAGGTGAGAGATTACCAAAAAAANAAAAAAAAAAAAAAAAAAAAAAAAAAAAAAAAAAAAAAAAAAAAAAAAAAAAAACTAAGAGTATTATTGAAAAGACATTTTAGGGTTTTTTTTTTCTTTTAAATATTAACCTTGAGTATTAGTGATCAATAATTTAATATACCAAGTACAAAACATTTATCCTATAATACAAAAATTTTAACTAGTCGAATTTGTACTTATCATTATTTGATTTTAAGCATAAACATTCATTATTTGTCTAGACGAAAGTCATAAAACTTCATAATCATTGGATTCGACTTGGAACTTACACTCATGGACGGTATGAAATTGGTACAAGTTTGAGAGGCAACTTTTTGTAGACGGTGAGACTCAAACCCGAAGTCTCTTCCATGTCCAAGTCCTCCTCCCTTATTCCCTCCGGCAACTTCCAATTAAAATGGTACAAAAGATTCGCCAAAGCTAGCTCCACTGTCTTCACCCCTAAATTCATCCCTGGGCAAATCCTCCGACCAGCCCCGAATGGTAAGAACTCAAAGTGTTGTCCTTTGTAATCAATCGAACTCTCTTCAAATCTTTCTGGAAGGAACTCTTCTGGGTCTTTCCAGTATGTGGGGTCTCGTCCAATTGCCCAAACGTTCACTTGAACCATGGTTTTTGGGTAAAAATCGTAGCCTTCAATTTTGAAGTGGGAAATGATTTCCCTTGGAAGAAGAAGAGGGGCTGGTGGATGTAGTCTCAATGTCTCTTTTACTATCATTTTCAAATATAGAAGTTGTTCGGTGTCTTTCTCTATTACCTTTCCTCTGTTTCCCACGTAGTTTCTGATTTCTTCTTGAGCTTTCTTCATCACTTTTAGGTTCTTCACGAGTTCTGCCATTGCCCAAACTAGTGTAATTGAACTTGTGTCTAATCCGGCCAAAAATATATTCTGTTGAAGTACAATATACAATAGAAAAGGTTATAATTCCGTGAGATAACAAAGAAGGAAGGATAGAGACAAAGCAAAAAAAAAAAAAAAAGCTCAAAATCTACTCAAAAACTTATGAACACAATTTTATTGATATATTATCTACTCCAAAAAATAGTTAGTTAGAATACTTAAAGTTTTGAAACTAAACTATTAATTTAAGGTAAAAATCATTAAAGCTTAGGAATAGAAGTTTGCTTACCAAAAGAATAGCTTTGATGCTTTCTTGGGTAATGACAACAGGATAAGATTCAGCTTGCTTTTTACTCAGAGCTAAAAGCACATCAATGATATTATTTTGCTCTGGCTTAGATCTCTCGGGACGAAGATGTTCATCAATTGCCTTTTGAAACAGAGCATTAATCTCATTAAAAACTCTCTCAAGTCTAGCTTCTCGACCACTTAACCAATCAATTATCTTCCCCACAAAAGGAATAGTAAACAACTCAGAAAAACTATAACTTCCTAATAGGGTCTCAGCTTCACTTACAAGCTCATGAAATCCATCCCCTTTAAACTCCTTCCCAAATACAATTCTAAAAATAACACCAGTAGTGAGAGAAATAGACTTTTCAGTAAGATCAACAACAGCTTCATAAGAAGCTGATTGCAAAATTGATTCAATAAGCAAACGAACTTCTTGCTCTCTAATAGGTTCGTAAGATAACACTCTCTTCATACTGAAAAGCTCAATCACACAAATTTTGCGTATCTCTCGCCAGTAATCACCATAAGGTGAAAACGCAATGTCAAGGAAATTGTAAGTAAGTTTTTTGACAGAATGAGTTTGTGGTTTGTTGCAGCTTTCGAGATCATGGGTTTTCAAGAGAGCACGAGCGGTCTCGACAGATGATATAATGATAGTTTCTATATGGCCTAGGCTGAGACTGATAACGGGACCGTAAAGCTCAGAGAGGTGCCATAGGGATTTGTGTGGGAGCTTGCCAAGTTGGTGCAAGTTTCCTATGATTGGAAGCTTTGGTGGGCTTGGGGGAAAGTGACCCTTTTTCCTATTTGCAGCTGCTTTCCGTCGAAGGATGATGAAAAGTAAAGAGAGAAAGAGTATAAGGGAGAGCCATGGAGGGAAATGAAGGAGAGACATTGAAATTTAGAAAGAGTTCGATAACACGATGATCTTTCGATTAAGTAGATATATATCGACTCAAAAGGGAAAACAAAACGTGAAGTGTTTGAATTTTCATTCTCGTATATTTGAAGAAATGTTTTCAAAGTTTTATTAGTTCTCTTTACAAACAGTAGATTAAAAAATTATTGAAAAAGAAAATAGGATGGTTGGATAGAAATCCAAGATTTCTTGATATTGTTATTATAGTGCTAAATAGAATATACCAGAAAATAGCTATCGAACTCCAAAAAGAAAAGAAATTTAAAAAATTAACCCCATCAAAATTTAATATTTTTAAGTGTTTATTAGCGTTAGACAGATTTGAACGTTTAGCTTTCTGGTAAATAATATATATTTTAACCAGTAAAATTAAATTTAAAAATTATAATCCGATCTAATTGGATTGTGTAAGATCCTATTCAACTCGAGAACTTTGTTTACTTAGCAATTCATATGAAGAAGCCTCACAAAAAGATAGAGATGGAGAGATAACAATAAAAGATGAAAATCTACTTCAAGAATTTTTGTCTCAATGCATTGGACCCGACATCCGATGAGATAAAATGTCTCGAAGAAAGTGAAGCGATAGGTAGAGAAATCATTATGAACTTGGTAATTGAATTCTTTAATCAAAAGCTTAGACTTTTTAATTAATTTATTTTTTCAAAATTAGTAGTAAAAAGGTTAAAATGTATTAAATTCTTTTTAAAACATAAATAAAACGTAATTTTCAAAATTTAGATATCAATTGATTTTGATGTGCAACTTGAGATCATTTCAAATTCAATTCAAATATTTAAATTTACTTTATTTGTTTGGATGAAAATAAATTCTCGACCACCATATGCCATATTTAAGCACTCATGGACGGTATGAAATTGGTCCAAGTGTGAGAGGCAACTTTATGTAGATGGTGAGACTCAAACCCGATGTCTCTTCCATGTCCAAATCCTCCTCCTTCATCCCCTCCGACAACCTTCAATTAAAATGGTACAAAAGATTCGCCAAAGCGAGTTCTGCCGTCTTCACCCCCAAATTCATTCCTAGGCAAATCCTCTGACCAGTCCCAAAAGGCAAGAACTCAAAGTGTTGTCCTTTGTAATCAATTAAACTATCTTCAAATCTCTATGAAAGGAACTCTTCTGGGTCTTTCCAGTATGTGGGGTCTCGTCCAATTGCCCAAATGTTCACTTAAACCATTGTTTTTAGGTAAAAAATTGTAGTCTTCAATTTTGAAGTGAGAAATGATTTCTCTTGGAGTAAGAAGAGGTGCTCGTGGATGTAGTCTCAATGTCTCTTTTACTATCATTTTAAAATATGGAAGTTGTTCTTTGGCTTTCTCTGTTACCTTTGGTTTGTTTCCCACATAGTTTGTGATTTCTTCTTGAGCTTTCTTCATCAATTTTGGGTTGTTTATGAGTTCTGCCATTGTCCAAACTAGTATGATTGAACCCATATCTAATCCAGCCAAAAATATATTCTATTCATGTATAATAACTTGATAGAGTAGCTATGAGATTGAAAGTTTTGAAACTAAACTAATAATTTAACGTAAAAACCATTAAAGTTTAGAAATAGAAATTGCTTACCAAAAGAATGGCTTTGATGCTTTCTTGAGTAATGACAATGGTGCAAGATTCAAGTAGCTTTTTATTAATAGCTAAAAGCACATAATGATATCATCTTGCTCTGGTTTAGGCTTTTGAGGATGAAGATGTTCATCAATCACATCTTGAAACAACTTATTAAAAACCCTTTCAAGTCTAGCTTCTCGTCCACTGAACCAATCAATGACCTTCCCTACAAAAGGAATAAGAAAAAGTTCAGAAGCACTATAGCTTCCCATCAGGGCCTCAGCTTCACTCACAA